TGGACGAGTCACAGAAATCCGAAGTCAGAGGGGGTTTTCACAGCCCTGTACTTCTCTTAGAGAAAAGCATCCGCTCAGAGTCTGGGGAGGGTGTCCTGAAGAAGGGAGCCATAAGTGGAACAAGTGTCTGGCCTTCTCAGCGCTTGCTGTATTCAGAGACAGCCCACGAAAATGTGCAGAAAGTAAAATAGATCTTTTTTTTTTTTTGGTTTGTTGTTTGTTTTTTGAGGGATCGAGCCCGCGTACACAACAGGATGCCACGAGCCTCACTCTCAGCCGGGCCTGCTTACCTGTCCCAATGTCCCAACGTTCCACGGAGGGCAGCTCAGACGAAGCCGGCAGCTATTTGGCTCCAGGCCCCCGGAGTTTTTAGTTCAGGAGCCGCTAATAAAAATTGTGGAAGAAGCTGTACGCACGCAGTGACTTCTTGCGGGTGGAGTGACGACGGTTCAGCCGTTAAGAGCAGTGGCCGCTCGGTCAGAGGACCCGGCAGTCGGTTCCCAGCACCCACATGGCAGCTCACAACTGTCTCCACTCCCGAAGATCTGTCGCCCTCTCCTGGCCTCAGCGGTCACCAGTCACGTGGGTGGGGCACAGACGGACCTGCGGGCAGAGCCTTTAATCCCCGCCTAGCCTGGGAGAGGCAGGAGAGTCCTTGAGATTTCGTGGTCAGCCGGGTTTACACAGAGAGTTCTAGGCTGGCCAGTGATACACAATGAAACCTTGTATCAAAAACGAGAAAGGGAGGCTATGAAGAAAAAGGAAAAAAAAAAAAAAGCTTGGAATTAGTGAAAGAGTTCCCCCTCCCCATCCTGGGGCCAGAGTCCCTTTCCTTCGGGGTGAAATTTTCAATAAGAAAAAGTGGGGCCTTTGTTTTGTAAAATCAGGAGATTGCAAGGAAGACTGATAAAAGGTCAAAACACACCCTGACTCCAGGGCACGTCTCCTGAGGCTCTGGTGCAGGCAAGCATTCTCAAAGACAGCGTCCCCTCAGACAGGCTCAGCTCCTCCCACACACCCCCCAGAACTCCCAGGTAGAGCACTTTCACTTTTCTAGAATTCACTGTGCTAATAAAAAAAAGCGTATTCGCAGTACTCAAGAGTGAGTCAGGATTACTGCGATGTCAGGATTACTGCGATGTTGAGGCCAGCTAGTGTGGGCCACAAAGTATCGCTGCCAATACTCCAGTACTATGGCCGCAACCCTAACCTTTGGAAATACCAGTGTATGTAATGCGTTAATGCCAAAAGTGTTCCCCCGGTGGAAAGAAACATCCTCAAAAATGTTACCCAAGGGAAAGCAAAAAATAAAATGACAATAGGGGATCCTGTGGTTTACAATTGCTTCTACAGAGCAAAGAGCTGACCTTAAACACTAGACCTCCAAGTCATCTTGGATTGTATGCCAAGAGTTAGCAGAACCAGACTGAAATGAATGCAGAGTGTGCACCAGTCGGTCGCACACTGGAGATCAGGACTCACTCATTGTGACTGACAGAGGAAATTCAAATCTTCTCTTCCCCATCTTCTAAGAACGTTATGCGAATATTTTAATTCTCCTGTGTTAGAACCAGGCGTGGTAGGGCGAGCCTTTAATCCGAGCACTCAGGAAGCAGAGGCATGTGGATCTCTGTGAGTTCCAGGCCAGCCTGGTCTACGGATTGAGTTGGGGGGTGGGGATCATTATTCTTTTCAGACTACCCAGTTGAATAAAATTGTGAGGTCAGTCAGACCCCAGCCAAGGAGGAAAAGGCACAACCACCACCTGAGTTAGAATAAAAACCAAACGCACTCTTGTCTCTGTGTGTTCAAACACATGAGCACACCCTCTTGGTCAAGAGTTGCAGACCCTTCAGTAGCAGCTATGGTCTCTTTCTCTGTGATCCCAAGTTTCTAACATGCATAATTATCAATTGCCACTTCATAAGATATATTGGATAAGGCACTCCATTCAAACACACCAAGCACAGTACAAATGAGGTCCAGTTAATATCACTGGTTTGGACCTCACTGATTCTTCTGCCCCTCAGGAGCACCTGAGTTAATACACTGTGGGACCCCTGGGGTCTGAAAAGTCCCCTAGCACTGCAGCCCATTACCTTCACACATTTGCCTGCTGTTTGAGGCACCAACTATGCCTACCAGAATCCAAAAGACAAACCAAACAAGCAGCACCAGCTTATACTCCAGAGAAACTGGGATCACTGAGTTGAGTAGCGCTGGTAGGGAACCGGGAGTGGACTACTATGCTCAGTGTTTCAGACTTTCTGTGAAACAGTTCTTTATGGTTTTGTTCTGAGTTTTGTTTCCTTTAGAGACCCAAAGAGGTTTTCGTGGGCCTAGACTTACGACAGAGTTGAGTCACCGCCACCCGGAGCTGCATTTATGACTCTCCACCGAGTGACTAAGTCTCTCTCATTCTCTCTTAACCAAAATGAGTCCTGTTCTAGGAAGCCACCTCCACCCCGGGCTGAAGAAGCAGAATGTGCTCCCACAGCCCCGTATCAGCCCGTTTACGGGTCTTGCCTCAGCAGGTCACCAGACATGCCCAGGCGTGCTTGACCACAGAGCGACAGATCCTCTTCAGCTAGAGAGCTAGAAACTTGGATTCCTGCCACACTGCAAATTAGATGTTTCTAAAATTTCTCTAAAATTGGCAGCCGGGTTACATTTTGCACCTAGGTTTTATGTCCCTTTATTTAGTTTCTGTGTGTGGATACTGCCCCAGTGAGCGAGATCAATAGGACCATGGTGACCTCATCCCCTGAGCGACTTGGCGCTGGATGGAAATATGCATGAAGAGAGACAGCATCTTACAGATGTTAAAGCTAGAAACAATGACAAGAATTCCATGCCATCTTTCACATGAGTATAGTTTTGGAGTCGAAGTCTATCACCATAACCTGGCTACTTTGAGACTGCATCCACCAGACCCCCATTATGAGGTCGTATTAAGCCGAGCTGTGGTGGTGCATTGCCTGGTCTACAAATCGAGTTCAAGGACAGCCAGGACTGCTACACAGAGAAACCTTGTCTCAAAATAAAGCAAACAAAAAGAGAGAGCATAAGAAGAGGTTATATGTAGTGATAGAATTTTTATGCTGAAGCTAGCCTTGGGTTTCTCCGTTTCCCTCTATCTAGTGTCCGTCTTTCTGTCTGTCTGCCTGTCTCTATCTCTCATTTAATTTTTCTTTTCTTTTCTTAAAAACAGGGTCTCTCTTTATAGCACTGGCAGGCTAGGCTGGAACTTGATATGTAGAACAGGCTGGCCTCCATTAATGATGTATGTTTCATGCCCGGGTTGCTTAATTTTTGTTGTTTTTTGTTTTATTTTCTGTGTCCTGGTATTTTGCCTGCACGTATATCTATGCATCACATTTGTGTATTATACCCACAGAGGCCAGAAGAGGCTATCAGATCCCCTGGAATCAGAGCTACAGACCGTTGTCAGCAATCATGTGGATGCAGGGAATCAAAGCTGGATTGTCTAGAAGAGCAGTCAGTGCTCTTAACTGCTGAGCCATTTCTCCATTCCTGCTTAGTTTTTGTTTTCTGAGACAAAGGTTTATGTGACCCAAAAATGACCTTTAATTTGATGTGTAGCAGAGAATGACCTTGAATTCTTATTTTAAAGGTTTTATTCATTTGTTGGTGTTCTGCCGAGATCACGGAGTCGGCCCCCCCCCCAACCAACTAGGAGACCGAGTCCTGTGTGTAAAAGCAAATCGCCTTTATTCTTACCCAAGTTTGCAAACTCGGACTCTCTGTGTGTCCATCGTATTGGAGTGCTGGGAGAGCACCAAGCTCAGATAGAGTTGGGTTCTTATAGTAAAGGTGGGGGTGAAGGATTTCTAAGGTTCAAGACCCCTGATAGCCTGATAGCCTCACATTTGCCTAGGGGTGTCCTGGTGAAAAGCGAGGGGTGTATGCTGGCAAGTGACCCTATCTATAGTGGTTGGAATGTTCAGAATTTACTTTAGATAGTCTGTTCCTGGGTGGTGCCTGGGTAGTCTCAGTTTAAGGTCTTTCTTGGAACCAGGTATTGCCTTAGGGTAAACTACTGAGACTCAGGCCTCTATTGAGTTTATCCCCTACACTGGGTGGTAGTGGCACACACCTTTAATCCCAGCACTTGGGAGGCAGAAGCAGGTGGGTCTCAGTGAATTTGGCCAGCCGGGTCTACAAAGCAAGTGCCAGGACAGCCAGGACTATTATACAGAGAAACCTTCTCTACACTGACAAGTGTCTGTGAAGAAAGCCAAAAACATGCCTGCTCTCAGGAAACTTCCACTTTGGTCACGTGTCCACACATGCCGTTCACGAGATCTGGGACACCATTCATTTCACCAGTGAAAATATTTTTCTGACATTTCTGCCAATTAATGAACCTTGTGGTGTACATTTCAATAAGGATTCTTGAAATGCCAAGTAGCCACCTGGGGAGTATGGATTCCTGATTAGGGCACTTCAGACTCTAACTATCCTCCCCCGGAGTGTGAGTTCCTAATAGAACTCTAATTGTAACTCAACTCCCCTAGAGAGTAAATTAAAGTTAATTTACACATAAATACATTATACTGTTTGTAAGGAAGTA